GCACTTGAATTTTACGAAAAAGTTCTCGAAATCACGGAAAAAGCCCTGCCTCCGAATCATCCCTATTTGGCTACTTCCTACAACAAGATCGGTCTCGTGTATAAAAACATGGGTGACTATTCGAAAGCACTTGAATTTTACGAAAAATCACATAAAATAAAGGAAAAAGTTCTGCCTCCAAATCATCCCGATTTGGCTACTTCCTACAGCAATATCGGTCAAGTGTACAACAATATGGGTGACTACTCAAAAGCACTTGAATTTTGCGAAAAAGCACTTAAAATCGATGAAAAAGTTCTGCCTTTGAATCATCCCTATTTGGCTACTTCATACAACAATATTGGTCAAATGTATTACAACATGGATGACTACTCAAAAGCACTTGAATTTTACGAAAAATCACATCAAATCTACGAAAAAGTTCTGCCTTCGAATCGTCCCTATTTGGCTACTTCCTACAACACCATCGGTCAAGTGTATAACAACATGGGCGACTACTCGAAAGCAATTGAATTTTACGAAAAATCGCTTAAAATAAGAGAAAAAGCTCTGTCCTCGAATCATCCCGATTTGGCTGGTAGTCACTTGAGTTTCGCAGCATGTTACGAACGAATGGGTGATTACGCAGCAGCTCTTAAGGCTCTTCATAGTACTTTTCAAATTCAACAACAAGTATTTCAAGAAGGTAATCCAGCTTTTACTTCAACATATAGTTGGCTCGGAAGAGTTTATCGAAGTTTGAAAGATTATTCAAAAGCACTTGATAATTTCGAAAAATGTCTCGCAATAGTTCAAAAAACGTTATCTGAAAGACATCCCAATCGAGCTATTACATATAGTAATATTGGTGATGTTCATCGATTAATGGGTAGTTATGATAGGGCACTTTCATTTCATCAAAAGGCATTAAATATTCAAGAAAATGTTCAATATAATCCTCTGGAATGTGCAACGACATATACAAATTTAGGTGAAACTTATCGAGAAATGAAAGATTATTCAACAGCATTGACATATTTTCAAAAAGGATTAGAAATACGTCAAAAGAAATTACCAAAAAATCATCCTGATTTAGCTATAATTTTTCATAATATGGCAAAACTATATTTGGCTACCCAACAATGTAGTATGGCAATGGAAAATGTCCAACAAGCGGTAGACATCGCTCAGAAGAAATTGCCTTCAAATCATCCTCATCTGTTGAACTATAGACAAACATTTAAAGAAGTGCAAAAGAATATGTAAGTTTATTTTTTTTCTCTGGCTGACGACATGGTAAATTCCTATGTCATGAAGTTTCAAGCTTCTGCA